GACGGACTGGCAGGTGTGAGGGAAAGCACCAACAGAGCCCTGCAAGCACTTGGAGGTGAGGCCTGTCTGAGTCCTTGGACTTGGCTACAAAGCTGGTAGTTTTTCCAAGAGCATTCCTTTTTCTTTTGTGGTACTAGTGACTGACCCTGAGCCTGTGGCCTCACACATCCTAGGCATGTGCTCGACCACTATGGTATCCTCCTCTAAGCTGTTCTGCCATGTACTTTGCCACAGTGATTTGCAATTATCTAACAGACCTGGCCTCATGGTTCTGCTGGCCCAAGATCCTTACTCCTTTTGGGGAGGCACACCTCAATTCTGCAGAGGGAACAACCCTTCTCTTAAATTCTGTCATGGAGGGACTATCAAATGTGTCTGCCCTTCCCCAAAGCCACCAAAGCCAAGAGGTGGACCCAGGGCCTGGGCGAGAAGGGCTCACTCTCCCTAGACTGTGAGTTGGGAGCTACCAAGGACAGAAAGCAGGCAGTGCCCATTGCTCTCGGGACCCAGAGGGCAGCAACTGTATCCCTGGAGCTCACAGCCCAGTTCTGCAGCTGTCCTGTCATGCCTGAAGCTTCTACCAATGTCATTATTCCTTTTACCTTCGGTTTATTCAGACAGGGTTTTATCCCTGGCTAGCCTGGGCTCACAGTGTCCTCCTGAGTCTCCTGCTTCTTTCTTTCTCTTTCTCTCTTCCTTTCTCTCTCTCTCTTTCTTTTTGGTCTTTTTGAGACAGAGCCTCCCTGGCTAGCCTGGACTCACTGTCCTTCTGCCTGAGTCTCCTGCTTCTTTCTTCCTCTTTCTCTCTTCCTTTTTCTTTTTGGTCTTTTTGAGACAGAGTCTCCCTGTAACCTCAGCTGCCCTCGAACTATGTAAACCAGGCTGGCCTTGATCTCACAGATTCTCTTGCCTCTGCCTCCTGAGTGCTGAGATTAGTGTGCCACCATGCCCAGCTTCCTTTTTTAAAAAATATTTTATATTTTGCCTACATGTATTTAAGTTTACCATATTCATGCCTGGTGCTTGTGGAGGTCAGAAGAGGGTGTCAGATTCCCCTGGAACTGGTGTTATGGACCGCCATGTGGGTGCTGGGAACTGAACCCAGGTCCTCTTCAAGAGCAGCCAGTGCTCTTAACCGCTGAGCCATCCCTCCAACCCTGTTTCTTTCTTACGTAGGCCAGAGTCCATTTGCGCTGGCCACTGCAGAGCCCTCTCTGATGCTTGCACTTGGTAAATAATAAATTAAGTCTGCTGACTTTTAGGTCCACACTCCTGCTTCCCGCCACTGGGTGAGCATGCATCTTATGAAAAGGCCCATCCTCTGGGAAACCCACTCACAGGGGGTGGTGCAGATTTTCCCTACGGTGATCGATATAATCCCAGCTGGGGGTGTGGCAGCACAACATAGCATGAACGTCAAGGCCACTGGTCTTTTCTCACTGGCTTCCTTTAACAACCACTTCCCTTACCTTGAACTTGATATTGTTGCTGATGAGCTGGTTACCCTTCATGAACTCCTTCTCATTGCCCCGGTTCTCTGTGACAACTGGGAAGGCATGGTGGACGGTGGTACGCAGGATGCTCACCAGAGACTGGATGCGGGTGTGCGGGTAGACATAGGTCAGGTTGGGCTCCATAATGTCACTGGCTCTCAGCCTACAAAAGAGGAACCAAGCAGCCTCAATGAGTCTGAGGTCCCCAGGAACAAGCTGTGCTGGGGCAACTCTGGTCTTTATCACTGCCAGGACCACCGAGGCCACTCATCTGAATCATCCCTGGTGGCTCCTTGAACCCAGTGCATTCACTCTACTTCCGAACCCTTCACGTATGCTGCTCCCCATGTCTGGTACACTGCTCCCCACTCGATTATGCTGGGGGACACTGTCCCCTGCATGAAGTCACCAGCTTTCCCAGGTTTTGGCCAGCTGTTCCTTGGTACTCCACAGCATACACATCTCAACTAACTGGTAAGGAGCCTGGAAGTTAAAATTCAATCTTGGAGTCCTTGTTTAGATCGGGGTGGCGAGCCAGAGCCCACAGATCCAACCCAGCCCTGTCCACTCCTCTACACACTGTCCGTGGCTGTTTTCCTGACATGTCAGTGGAGTTGCAGGGCTATGACAGCTCGCAAAGCTGACAGGCCCATTACAGAAGTCTGCTGGCCCTGCCATTAGCTTATAAGGCCTGCCTGATATGCAGATAGGCACCTGAAACTCTGTGGCCATCAGGAGGCTTTAAAGATAACACCCAGGATGGTCACTGTTGAGACAGTGGGACTTTTGGTTGGGTATGGGTGCAGTGTAGGTTGCTGTCACTGCCAGGGCTCGGCGTGTCCTCAGGGTGAACAGGCAAAACTTGACTGGGTTCTCACTTCTTACTTGGCCAGACACTAAGGAGTCAAACGAGCACAGAGCACTCTTTCCTCCTGGGTCCACCATGCTGCCTAGTCCCTGTCCTGGCCCCCAGGCTCTGAGACGACACAAGCTGCTCAATGTTCCCAAATATGCCAGGGACACGTGCCTGCTTCTTCCAACCTGAGCAGTGTGAGCTACTATTTCCAACCCTGATACAAACATTCCATAGGCCCCAGAGCTTAGAAATTTTAGTGTGGGGACACGAAGAAATTGGGGTCTTACTTGTCCATTTCCACCTCTGTCTCCCATTCCAGGAGTGGCACACCTCGCAGTCCCACATGGATGTCATAAATGCCCTTATTGAAAAAGTCCCCTGTCCACTTGGCCACCTGAAACACAACACAGAGATCTGAAAACAGGCCTTTGGATGAACCAGGCCCTGAGCCTCCAAGTGGCCGGAAGGGAAGAGCTCACCATCAGGGTGATCATAATGGGAAGCCCATAGGTGATCTCATTGGTGGACTCAATCAGGATGACTGTGAGACTGATGGTCATCCGCACGACCCCACCCAAGAAAGCTGCGGCACCAATCAGGGCAAAGGTCCCTGAATAGATGTGACCGAGTCCAATGTAGCTGAAGAAAAAACCAAGAACCAGGTTAGACTCACAGTGGTGTGGGGGCAGGGGATGGTGGAGAGGATCTACAGCTCACACGCATGCATGCTGTGCACACGTGCTCACAGTAAGGAAGATCTACAGTTCATACACTCATGCATGCGTGCACACACGCTCACAGTGGGGGCTATCTACAGTACACACACTGGTGCGCATGTGCGCGCACACCCACACAACCTCCCACACTGTACCTTTTTAGGACATTTGCAACTAAGCGTCCAAAAGCAGCTCCACACAGCAGAGATGGCACAAAGAGGCCACTTGGGACAGAAATGCCGTAAGTCCAACATGCCAGCAGGAAATAGAGGACAAAGAACAAGGCCAAGGTGACGGGGCTGAAAGTCCCTGCAAGGAAAACTGACCTGAGTCCCCCCAGCAGATGCTTGTGGAGGCCCAGAAAATTGTGCTGGGCCTTTCCAGGTCCTTCTATCCCCTAACCTGGTCACTGTCCAACACTGGAGACAGAAACTTGAATCTTTAGTCTGGGTTGGCATTATGGAGGAAACACTGAGTAGGGTGGACACTCACTCCCTGGGTGCCCAGTGACATGGACACTCACCGTCCTGATGGAAGAGCTGGAGGATGGCAGACTCCTGGGGGTTGAAGAAGAGTGTGGCCATGTCATTGTAGGTATCATTGGGACAAAAGAATGTCTTGATGCTTGAGTTCACATCTTCTGATGTGATCTAAGGAGGGGGATTGAAAAGCCAACACATGAGCACCTGGCCAGGGCACCCAAGTCTTCAAGTGTGCTGTGTCCAGTGAGGTCAAACATCTGGCTGGAGAGCTCATCTGTAGGCTACTATGAAGACACAGATGAACACCCAAAGGCAGCTGACTCAGGATTCAGCCATTTTATATCTGTGTGTACATATGTGTGTGCCTGTATGTGTGTGGGATGCACCCTTGCTATGGTATGCGTGTGGACATCACAGGACAACTCCGATGTCAGCCCTCACCTTCCACCTTGTTTGACACAGGGTCTCCTTTGCTGCTACATGTGCCAGGCTGCTGGCTGCAAGCTTCGGGGCTCTCCTGTCTCCACCCCCACGTCACTGTAGGAGCGCTGAGATTACGGACACACTACTGTGTCCAGCTTTATCTGAGTTCTGGGGCCTGATGCCTGTGTGGTATGCACATCACCTGCTAAGCGACCTCCCCAGCTCTCATCCACACTTATAACTAGAGCATAAGCAACCACGTTAGGGTTCACCATGAGCTCAGCTCTGTTTCTTGCTTGGTGCTGATTCTGTAAGTGATACAGCCCAGTGTTTGGAGTGAGTCCCAAGACCATGGGACAAGTGGCTGGGAGCTGTCGGGACCCTAGGGAACAGAGTCCAGGATGTCACCTGACATACAGCTCCAATTCTGGTTCCAAATGAAAAAAATCTTTTGCTCTGGATTATCTGCAGAAGGAGCCGACACCAACATGAGGCCTGCGGACAGTTATCACACTGTAGGTCATCTCTTCCCCCAGACCACTGGGGAAATGCCAAATGAGGGAAAAATGTTTCTTTCCTCACAACCCAGCCTTCACATTCTCGACATCATGTGCGAGCAGACAAGATTCTGGTGCCACCTGACTCACTGGAGAGTATGGGCAGGTCACCTGCAATGTGACAGTCATGGCTTTCTAGCTGACGGTATGCAGGGGTCAGGCTTCCCTATGAATATGGAGATAAAGGGTAAGGATCCACTGGAGCCTCCTCTGACACTGTGACAAAGATGCCACTGCAACAACACTGAGCGTTTTCTATAACCCTACCAGGTGTACCAGGTGAGGCAATACAGCAGGAGGCAGGCTGCACTAGGATGCACACAGCACCCCGTTGGCTGTGCCTGGCAGAGGAGGGAGGTGTGCAGACACCCAGCATGGCCAAGCAGAGTGGGGCACAGCAGTGGACCTGCTGAGGTGAGGGCTTAGTAACTGACCACATGCAGAGTGCCCCACACCATGTCTGAAGGAACACCACTCCCAAAGATTCTCTGGAAAAGGTCCTGTGGTCAGCTGCCTTGAAATGCTTGCAGAGCACCTACCTGCTAAGCAGAGAACAGACTCCAAAGTCACTCTCCAGCAACCCTTTGGAACTTTGGCTTTTCCTTATCTACAAAAATAGAATAATACCTTCCCACCTTGTGCTACATGTAACAAGCTGAGGGATCTTGCTCAAAACCTTGCTCTGCCTGTTTTCTCATCTGTGAAGTGGGGATATTACCAGCCACCAACGTGGAAGAATAAATGAGATCGTCTCTGTAAAGTGCTTATGAAAGATCTGAGACCCAGTGAAGGTGCCAAACCTCCTAACAATTACCAGACTATTGCAGTGTTATTGCAGGAAGCCCTGCAGTAAGAACGTTATTTCTTCCTACAATAACCAACAATTTTGGTGTTAGGGTTTTTTTTCAGGTTAACCCACTTGAGCACAGAAGGTTTAGTTTTGATTTTTCTTTTATATTTTATTTATTTTTATTTTATGTGTATGAGTGTATTGCCTGCACGTAGGTAAGTGCACCCATGTTGTGCAATGTCCGAGGAGGACACAAGAGACTGTCGGATCCCCTGGAACTGGAGTTACAGACAATTGTTAGCTACCATGTGGGTGCTGGGATTTGAACCCGGGTCTTCCGCAAGAACAGTCAGTGTTCTTAACCGCTGAGCCATCTCTCCAGCCCCTAGTTTTGATATTCTTAATGTTCTATAACAGAGTATTTTGAAAACTTTGGTCTTGAATTGACTTTTGGAACAACTAGGGGTTAGCAAACTTCTTCCACAGAGACTAAATATTTTAGATTCTGCCAGTCACGCACTGTCTCTGTGGCACCTTCTTTTGTCCCAGCCATTTGAAAGGACATCCTTCGCCTGGGAGTTACACAAACAGGTGGTTTCAAGGGCCAGATGTGGCCCCTGGCTACTCCTCATTTAAAACATCCTAGGGCTTCATAGACTGTTTCCTAGGGAGCCTGAAGAGGCAGCCCTTCCAGACAAGCTCCAGAGGGGCTCTGGGGGCTTCCGGTACCAACTCAGAAAAATGAGAAGACACTAGCCTCCGCCTGGAGACCAGGCCATAAGCTGCCTCTTAGGATGGCAGAGCGGACCAAAGCACACAGCGTATAACATACTCTCATGCCCAACTCAAGGGCCCTGCTCCTTAAGGCTCTAGGAAACAGCACTGACCCCCAAGGGCAGGAAGAAGTACAAAACGGACACGTGCCAGTCAATGACCCTAACCCAGCAAGAGTCAGATGCAAGAGTTAGGACTGTGATCTCTTTGATACAGACATCGCTGTGCCGCTGTCCTACAAGTGAGACTTGTGGTCACAAAGGTGAGGTGGTGGGTGAAGTGGTCCTGAGCTAGAGGGTCCCTGGAGGCTTGAAGAGGTTCAAGAGTAAACGAGCCTTGGAGAAGTACTGAACAGTCAGTCAGCTACTGAGCTGTGTCAGATAAGTTTGGTTTCCTAGCGAACAGCCAGAATTACTGATAAAAGTGGAAAAGCCAGGGAAGCCGTGCACATCCTCTCAGTAAAAAGCCCACGGCACAGTCCTGCCTCTCAGGAGCCTGAGCTGTGGATCAAGGAACCTGACATATCCATGGCTCTATATACATGCACTGCTGGATGGAGGACAAAGGGCGCATGCTGTGGTTACCTGGAGCTGGAATGAGCCATTACTGATTTGACTCGCAGAGGACATCTGCCGGCATTCTCCTAAGACCATTGAGGCCACGAACACCACCACGGTGGTTACCAGGGACACCAAAAGGCTCTCTAAGACTCTAGGAAGCAGAGCACAGCTGTCACAATCAATCCAGACTCCTGGACTTGAGAACTCACAACCACACCTGCTTACCCCAACACCCCTCTCCACAGGGCAAGCCCAGCTCTGCTCAGAGCACATATGTGCACAGAGCTCTTCCCTGACTTGCTGGCTTCCAGCTGCCTGCAGTATGGCAGGGAACAATGTGGGCTGTTGCGTCCACATCATCTCCCTCCAGGAACTGAATGGCCTTTCCTCACTGAGTCCATGGCAAGGGCGAATCACGACAGCCAGCACCTCAGCAGGGCCTGCTGACCACCTAACTTCTGTCACATGTGCTAGCAGCAGGTCAGAAGATGGTATAGGTCACACAGCCACTCAGATATAAACTCAGCCTCGGCCTCTTGGGGCCTGAGGAGGGCAGATTTATGGCCTTGGTTAAAGTGCTGAGTCTCAGTTGAGAAACCAAAGCAGGTGTAGGAAGCAGAGTTTGTTCAAGGACCGTCAGGAGAAGAAAGCCCCCACACTGGGCTTACTGCAGATACCTGACAAGCTTAGGTTTCGGGTGCACGTTGCGCATGCGGTACTTTGCAAGCCTCTTGTTCAGACAGTTGAATGTGGCTCCCAGGAGGCCCCCAATGACCCCCATCACGACGAAGAAACCCAAATCCATAGCTGTCCAGAGGTGACATTTTTTATCAGAGTCAGAGCACTGAGAGAAGGGGGAAGGGAGGGAGAGAGAAAAACCAGAGTGGCCATGAGACCAGGAAAAGAAAGAAGACAGAAACAAGAGCACAGGTGTCTTCCCTGCAAAGGTACAGGTTGAGCTGGCACACCGCTCCCCAGAGTGGGCATGCACAGGACTGAGAGCCAAGGCTGCCGACCCAGCTGGTCACTGCTTTTTGGTCTTTTACATAAGAACAACTTTTACGGATCAAATCAGAAGTCCTAGGAGGAAGTATAAGACATACCTTAAACTCGCCAAAGTTCAGCAATCCAGGCAGCTGGAAGGAACCCCAACTTCCAAACTGAATCCCAGAACGGAAGAAGTTGAGGGTGAAGGTGGCAGACATGGAACAGAAGAGCTAAGGGAAAGATGACAAAAACAGTAACACTAGTGACACGTCCTCCTCTCCTCGACAGTCTATTTATTTAGTGTGCAAGTGGAGATCAGAGAACAACTTTTGGAAGTCAGTTCTCTCCTTCCACCATGTGAGTCCCAGGGAATCAAACTCGGGCTGTTAGGCCTGGTAGTTAGCAAGTGTATTTACTCACTTAGCCATCTTGATGGACTGACAGTCTCTCTCTCTTTTTTTGGTCTTTTTGAGACAGGGTCTCCCTGTAGCCCCAGCTGTCCTGGAACTCACCATGTAGACCAGGCTGGCCTTGAACTCAGAGAGATCTGTCTGCCTCTGCCTCCCAAGTGCTGGGATTAAAGGCATGCACCACCACGCCTGGCTGATAGTCCCTTTTTTTTAAAAAAAAAAAATTATCTTTTATTTTATTTGTATGAGTGTTTTGTCTGCATGTATGTAAGTTCATCCATGTCATGCAATGCCTGTGGAGGGCAGAGGAGGGCATCAGATCGCTCGGAACCAGAGTTAGAGATGGTTGTTAGCGGTCACATGGATGCTGGGAATTGAACCCAGGTCCTCTGCAAGAGCAGCCAGTGATCTTAACAGCTGAACCATTTTTCCAGCCCAAGAGTCCCTCTTTAAAACCCACTGCTCCACCAGGCATGGTTGCACATCTTTAATACCAGCACTTAGGAGGCAGAGGTGGCAGATCTCTGTGAGTTTGAGGCTACTCTGATAAACACAGCAAGTTCCAGGCCAGCAAAAACCCACTGATCACTAGAGCCCTGCAGAGCCTGGGCTGGGGCAGGGGTCTGATGGCCATTGTGAGGATGTCTCTCAGGAAAACAAGTGAAACAGGCTCTGGGCCAGCCTCAGTCCAGCCCTCCTTCAGTGCCTGATACTTAGCGCTCTCACGGAATGGGTCCGTGCCCAAGAAGAGGACACAACAGATGCGCCTCTGGGCGGGAGATGAGTTCAAGCTCAGCAGCGACTTGTACATTTTCATGGTGGACAGTTCATAAAGCAGCAGGATTTGGTGCTGGGTGTGCTTCTCGAGGGGAGGGCCTGCTGACACACGAGCACAAAGGCCCACTGTGTGGAGGCTGTGGCTGTTATGATGGCCAAAGCTCTGAGTCAGTAAATGACAGTTAAATGTCTCAAGAGACATCCAGGTGCCTTCTGGATGCGCAGGTCTCAAAGGTGGCTTCCACCAAGTCTCCTTACCACTTTCCATGTGAGCCCTTGGTTCCAGAAGGATGAGCCCTCCTCCAGACTGAATAAGGTACCCCCAATTGGGGCCCCAAATGCTGCAGCAACCCCAGCAGCTGCCCCCGCAGACACAAAGTCCCGCTTGTCTCTGAGAAAGAGAGGAGGGAAGGAAAGAAAGCATGTGTGTGCTTATCCAAGAAAGAGCCTTCACACTGAAAAACCAGCTCTTCACTTCCTCATATGAACGGTCAGGATCAGAGGAGAGCAGAGCCCTGGAAGGCCGTCACAGCAGCCTCTGAGTCACACACTCCCCACATGCTAGACTCTGGATCTTTGGGGTCCCCACCCTGAGGCTACTGGGAGACGGTGCGACCTGTAAGAGGTGGGCCTAGTGGGAGGAAGCCAGGTCATCTGGGGTGTGCCCTGGGAGGGGATGCTGGGACCCAGCCCATCTTCCCCTCTCTTTATTCCTGGCCATGAGATGAAGGAGAATGAAACCTTCAGAACTAGAAGTGACAATAAACCTTTCCTCTTTTTCAGGTGACCACCTTAGGTTTGTTGCAGTGAGGAAAGCTCACACACTACATCCAGTTCCCTCAGGGTGGGAGTTCTTCCACCTGGGACCACGAGCTCCCTAACCAGACAGGGCACCACTCTGGGAACATGGAATGGCTCAGAGGACAGACTGGGGATTTCCAGTGGTTGCTACTGAGCCATGTTCCCACTACAGAAAACAGCATCACTGAGAACAGACAGGGGCAGAACAGCAGTGAGCGGAAACGTACGGGAATACAGACATAACACAAATCCCCAGGGCTGGAGTTCCCAAGCAGGGCAGCTGCCAGTCCAGAAAGGCAGCTGAGGAGGTACATCCCAAATACCCCATTCATGATATGCCCTTCTCTGGCTGGGTTTTCAATCTTTGACCATCTTCATTGCCTGAGACGGCTCTAGGCTTCATGATAAGTGGAATCAGTCAGGACACCAGCTTGGTCCTTTTGCTTCTGATTCTCATAAGAGAAGCACAAAGCCCCTTCCCTTTCCTGACTGCCAGGGTCAGAAGAAGCCTAAGTGCAGAGTGATAAGCCAGTTTGGAGCAAGGACCAAGTCTGACTGAACAGCAGTTTACCAGCACATGTTTCCCGGCATTTCCGTACCTGTCACTTCGGAAATAGGGAAAGTTAAACTGGATCTTCCGTAAGGAGATGCTCTGAAACTAAAACAGGAGAAAACAAAGTCAGGGACAACCCATGAGATCAGAAGCAACAGAAACTGACAGTCCCTGGGGAGGCCCCTACACATCCACACAGCTGCACCAGTGTGCGGCAAGAAGGAAGTATCCAGGGGCCTGGAGAGGTGGCTCAGCAGTTAAGAGCACTGGTTGCTCTGGAAGAGGACCCAGGTTTGGTTCCCAGCCCCTACATGGCAGCTAACAACCATCCATAACTCCAGTTCCAGGGGATCCAACACCCTCTTCTGGTCTCTGTGGGCACTGCATGACATGGGTGCACTTACATACAGGCAAAACATTACACATTAAAAAAAAAAAAAAAGAGGAGGAAGTGACAAGAATAGCAAGTTGGAAAAAGGAAGCTACCTCCCAGGGGAGGAGCTTATTTTTTCCTGCCCCCACATGTCTTTGTCCTTCGGAACTGTATACTGTGCATGGTCAGCAAGTCAGAAAGAAGGGAAAAAGCTGAACAGGAACTGGGAGGAACCTAGAGCTCCCACATAGGATGGCACTGGCTCTTTCAGGGTGTGCCAATAGGCTCCCCAGATTCCATGCTTGGCCTCATCCCACTTCATGGCTCGTTTCTGGGAGACCTGGTACTTGAGGACAAAGACAGCAAGAAAGATGAGAGATGGGGCCCCAGAGGAAAGAGCCATCTCTCTTCTGCCCCAACCACATGTGCACAGGAAACCCCTTTCTCAGAATAGGAGAGGTAAAGGTCCACAAGTCATGGTTCCCAAGGAGCAGAGAAGTCTCAGCTAAAGCCTGGGAGTTGGGAAATGCCCTTAAAAATGGGAGCTTTGGCCAGGTTATGGTGGCCTAGCAAGTAGGAAGGAGGCTGAGACAAGAGGACCTTGAATTCAAGATCCAGCCTGGAATACATAGGGAGATCCTATCCCAATCAATCAATCAAACAAAACTTAATTTTTTTTTTTTGATCTTTTTGAGACAGGGTCTCCCTGTAGCCCCAACTGTCCTGGAACTCGCTATGCAGACCAGGCTGGCCTTGAACTCATAGAGATCCAGCTGCCTCTGCCTCCCGAGTGCTGGGATTAAAGGTGTGAGCTACCACGCCCCGCTAACAAAACAATTTTTAAAAAAGGGATCTTTGGAGTCTTGAGCTAGCCCCTCAGTCTCCTCACCTAAGCTTAGGGGTAAGGATAACCAGTTCACTGGGTACAAAGAGAAGGGGCTGGAGAGATGGCTCAGCAGTTAAGAGCACTGACTACTCTTGCAGAGGACCCAGGTTCAGTTCCCAGCACCTACATGGCAGCTAACTACCATCTGTAACTCCAGTTCCAGGGGATCTGATACCCTCTTCTTACCTCTGTGGGCACTGCAGAACACAGGTGCACTTACACACATGCAGGCAATGCACTCATACACATAAAAATAAAGCTGGGCATGGTGGCACATGCCTTTAATCCCAGCACTTGGAAGGCAGAGGCAAGCAGATCTCTATGAGTTCAAGGTCAGCCTGGTCTACACAGTGAGTATCAGGCCAGCTGGGGCTACAGGGAGACCCTGTCTCAAAAAGACCAAAAAAATTAAAAATAAATAAAAATAAATTAAAAAAAGAAAAAAAGAAAAAAAGATGGGGCTTGAGATATGGTTCATCAGTTAAGAACACTGACTGTCTTTAATCCCAGCACTTGGGAGGCAGAGGCACCAATCTTTGTGAGTTCAAGGCCAGCCTGGTCTACATAGCAAGTTCCAGGACAGCTGGAGCTACAGAGAGACCCTGTTTCAAAAAGACAAAAAAAAAACAAACAAACAAAAAAACAAAAACCACTGAATGTTCCTGCAGGAGACTCAGGTTTGAATCCCAGCACCCACATGGCAGCTAATAACTGTCCTAACTCCAGTACCAGGGGAGCCGATGCCCTCTTCTGACCTCCTTGGTCATTGCATGACACGGTGCACTTCCACACATGCAGGCAATACACACATACACATCAAGTAAAAATAATAAAGTTTTTAAGTACATGAATCAAAATACTAATTAGGTACTAAAAAAAAACCAAACATGTAAAGTCTCACTGGGGTTACATGTGAGGACTCCCTTCAAAGTGGAGAGATTTTTAAGAGCATAGAAAAAATTAACTTAATGGCAATTTTATTTAGAGAATGATTCTGCCTGGGTCATTGAATGAAAGAAGATAGTTAGGGAGGGAGGGGCTGGGACGGACGGTCTGGCGCACAGGCAGCGTTTTGCTGCCCCAGTACTGTCACTGCACCATGTGATGTGGGATGAGCAGAGCCGGGCCTGATTCATGTGGCAGCGTGGAATGACCACAGCCACCTGTGCGGAGGTTCTCAGCAGAGGCTGCACAGGTACCAAGTGACTTTCATTTGTCTGTCACAGTTTTTCCTCCACATCTACTTCTGCTCCTGGGACTCAGGAGGGCACTGTGGAAACTTTGAGGCAGCAGTTAGGAGCTCTGCTGCACCAGAACACTCAGTTACAATCCCAAGTCCAAATGCCATCAGGTTCTGAAATCACATCAGGGAGACTGCAAAGGATTTTCCTAAATCTAACCAGAAGCAGGCTGCTGGGCCTATCCAGGAGGCCCACTCTTAGGGACACATCCCCGGGGCCATTCCGAGGTTCATATCTCCTGGGCCACTCCAAGGGACGCATCTTCAGAGCCATTCCGAGGGACAAATCCCTGGGGCCACTCCAAGGGACACGGTGCCCTGGCCCACCAACCCTTACCTGTGGAAGGCCAGCTCCCACCACGGCACCGCTGTGGATCATGGGGCCTTCTTTCCCCACAAAGAGCCCTGGGAATGGTAAGAAAGAATGGGCAGAGTCAGCAGCAGGCCCCGACTCCTCGTATCTTCACTACATAAACCTTTCTTTTGACTGTTACAAAACACAGGTGAGCACATGATTTCCTGGCTGCTGCACAAACATAAGGAATTGAGTTTGATCCCCAGCACCAACATAAGAAACAGGCATGATGGCATGCATTTGTAATCCCAGTGCTGGGGAACTAGAGACAGGAGGCTCCCTGGAGCTTGCTGGCCAGCTAGCCTAATCAGCAAGCTCCATGCTAATAAGATATCCTGTCTCAAAAAAACAAAAGGTGCACAACTCCTGAAGGCTTTTACTTACACACACTCGTGTAAACGCACACACACACAGAGAAAATTCCTTTTAAACAAGGTCCACGTACAGTTGTACTACATACAAGAGATAATACTCCTTATTTTCAAAATCCAGTGTCAGGAAATCATAGCCTATGGGCTAAGAGCCTGTTTTTGTACAGCCTGAGAACTAAGAATGGCTTTATTTATTTATTATTTATTTATTTATTTATTTATTTATTTTGAGTTTATTTATTTATTTATTTGTGGTGCCAGGGGTCAAACCCAGGGCCTTGTGTATCTTAGACACGTACTCTACCACTGAGCTATACCCCCAGCCCTTTATTTGTTTTATTAATTTTTGTTGTTTTTGAGTCAGTCTCTCTAAGTTACCAAGGTTGCCTTAAACTCACTGCCAAGCAGGCCGTGAACCTGAAATCCTCCTGCCTCAACTTTTCAAGAAGCTAAGATGACAGGCCTCTATCGGGCCTGGTACGTTTACATTCTTTTCTTTTTTATTCTGAGACAGGTTCTAACTCTGTAGCCCAGGCTGGCTTCCACCTCTGTGATCCTCCTGCCTGAGACTCCTAAGAGCTGGGATTCTCAATTGAACACATTTTACATAGTTCTTTAAGTTCCTACACTATATTCCTGATTATCCCTCTTGGTTTGCAAAACCTAAATTACTTACCATATGGCTATTTATACAAAAAGTGTGCTAACTTGCCAGAGTCAACCCCACAAACCAACTGTATGGTCTTTCTACTTCGAAACAGAATGGTGTCGTTGGATATCCCTAAATGACAATGCACTAACCTGGACAAGCTGGGCACGGGGCACACACCTGTAATGCCAGCACTTGGGAGGCCGAGGCAGGAGGATCTCAAGTTCAAGGCTGGCCTGAGCTATGAAGAAAGGAAGGAAGGAAGGAAGGAAGGAAGGAAGGAAGGAAGGAAGGAAGGAAGGAAGGAAGGGAGGACTGAAAGGGAGGGAGAGTGGGATGGGGAGAGGAAGGAAGGAAGTTAGGAAGGAAGGAAGGAAGAAAGGAAGGAAGGAAGGAAGGAAGGAAGGAAGGAAGGAAGGAAGGAAGGAAGGAAGGAAGGAAAGAAGGAACAAAACCATGTGAATAACCACGGACAGCGTTATGGTTTGAATCTGAACTGTCCACCACAGGTGCATGTTCATACTGAGTCCCCAGTATGTGGCTTTGTTTTGAAGTCTATGGAGCCTTTAGGAGGTGAAGACTGGAAGGCAGAAGTGGGTAACTTAGGGGTTGGTCTTTATGGGTTATAGCCCAGCCCTGGTTCTTGCTTCAGGTACCCCACAGAAGTCTCCACCACCATGAACTGTCCCTGCCTTTCCAGGTATGATGGACTGAAATCCCTCTGAAATGGTGAGCCAAAACAAACCATTCCTCCCTTAAGTTGTTTCTGTCAGGTTTTCTGTCTTTTGGTTTTTAGAGATAGGGTCTCCCTATAGACCCAGCAAGCCTGGATGTAGACTAGATCTCACAGAGCTCCACCTGCCTCTGCCTTCAGAGTGCTAGGACTAAAGGCATGCGCCAAACACAGCTATCTGTCAGGTATTTTGACACATAGATGAGAAAAGTAGTTGACACAAACAAAAATGCAGATATCTGCCTAGGAGTGGGCCTTAAGTCCACAGCTAATCAGTGCACACAGAAGCCTGGAACACTTGAAAGAAAGCAAGAGTAAAAAGACGGGCTGGAGAGATGGCTCAGCAGTTAAAGCACAGACCACTCTTGCAGAGGACCTGAGTTTAGTTCCCAGCATACATGTCAAGTGGCTCATAACCAGTTCTAACTCCAGTTCCAGGGGATCTAACACCCTCTTCTGGCCTCCTCAGGCACCTGCACTCATGCATACATGTCCACAGGCAGGCAAATACATACATATAATAAAAAATAAATCTCACCAAAAAAAAAAAAAAAAAAAAAAAAGGAATATAAAGATTCCTCACCTCCAGCCACACTGAAGAGCACCCCGAAAACTTTGCAGAGCAGGGTCCGGAGCCGGACAATTCCTGGTACCTTCACACCATTCAGATAGCATTTGATCTCAGGGATCCCAGAACCTGCTGCCACTGGCTGAGGAGGGAGGAAGCAGACTCCTAAATTCAAAATCCACACTTCGGTCTACCCTCAACCAGACAACCAAACAGGGACACCCACTGTCTTCCATCCCCTCCCCCGAGGACTTGTCTAACCACAGAGGCTGGATCTGAGCCTGACCTGACTCTGCAGGTCTCAGGGCAACAGGAGCACCTGCTTAACAAGCTTCTTGGTGAGTGTGGACGGTCTCATCACATGGAACTTTTCCACAGCACCGCAGCCCCTCTTCCCTAGATTCTGACCTACACACATTTTTTGAACAGTTCCCCAGCTGATTCCAGTATGCAGCAGAGGCAAGAAGCATTTTTCCTGTACCTTCCTCTTCAATCCTACAGAGACTGGAAGCTTTACTTCCAGAAAAATCTCCAAGTAAACAAGAGGCACTTCTTTTTAGTTTATTTTTATGTGAGTATTCTGCCTGCATGTATGTAAGTGCACCACATGCATGCAATGCCCACTGAGGCCAGAAAAAGGTTTCAGGTTCCCTGGAACTGGAGTTATGGATGGTTGTTAACCACCGGTGGGTGCTGGGAACCAAATCCTGGTACACTCCAAGAGCAGCCAATGCTCCTAACAGTGGCACTATCTCTCCAGCCCCACTAGAGGGCCCTTCTGCAGAAACCTACTGGCTACACATAGCTGCTTTCTGACATGAAGCGGAAAAAGAGCTAAGTGAAGAACTCCAAGACCTCACAGATAAAGAGCCAATTTCAAAACAGCTTACCTCTATCAGGACAAGAAGGCTGGCCAGGAAGACAAAGGTCAAGTTAAAACCCAAGAGCTCAAGGAGGGACAGGGCGAGGCAGCCTTTCTGACTGCACTCCTCCACCGCTAAGGGAGCTGCGTCAAGGAAAAGACCTGCAGGCATATGTGGCCCCCTCACCCCTAGAAATGGCCCAGCTGCATCCTTCCAAGTTGCGATGGCGGCTCGGTGCACATCTTCCTGTGCTCTGAGTACTGAAATGTGCAATTGTGACGAAGACTGCTGGGTATGGTAGCCCAGGCTTTTGAGCCCAGCACAGGCAGGTGGGGTTCTGTGAGTTTGAGACTAGTCAGGTCTACAAAGAAAGCTCCAGGTCTTTTACACTTTTACCAAGTGTAAAAGTAACTAAAATTTACATTAAAAAGTAACTTTTGGCTGGGCGTGGTGGCACATGCCTTTAACCCCAACACTCGGGAGGCAGAGGCAGGCAGATCTCTGTGAGTTCAAGGCCAGCCTGGTCTACATAGTGAGTTCTAGGATAGTTGGGACTACAGAGAGACCCTGTCTCAAAAAAGACCAAAAAAAAAAGTAACTTTTATTTACATTAAAAAACACTTTAGGAAGGGACTGGAGTGATGACTCGGTGGTTAAGAGCACTGGCTGTTCTTGCAGAAGACCCCAGTTCAAATTCCAACACCCACACAGTGGCTAACAACCATCTATAACTCCAGTTCCTGGATCCAACACCCTTGTCTGTCCTCCAAAGGCACTGCATGACACAGGTGCACTTACATGCAGGCAATACACTCATACACATAAAATAAATAAATAGAAAAAAAATAAAAGTCTACTTTTTTTTTTTTTTTTGGTCTTTTTGAGACAGGGTCTCCCTGAAGCCCTAGCTGGCCTGGAACTCACTGTGTAGACCAGGCTGGCCTGTATCTCACAGAGATTCCCCTGCCTCTTCCTCCCAAGTACTGGGATTAAAGGTGTGCGCCACCATACCGGACGTTAGATACCACTTAAAATAAAGCCCGAATCAGGGAGGTGCTGTTAGCCTGATACCACTGTGTCCTCTTCCTAAGTATTTCTCTCGTATCCTTGTGGCTCTACACTGTACTGTTCTACAATGTCTTTTTCCCTCCCTCTTCAGTGTATGTCTTGAGAATTAGCCATGTTGATACACACAGCTGTGACCAATTTTAACTTCCATATAAAATTATACCATATGAAGGAATCGTAATTTTTCCATTCCTTCGTTTGGTGATTCAGCTTTCTGCTGATAAAGCTGTCAAAGAAAAGTCGCCTCTAACAATTTAAAGTCAGGGTCTGAAGAGGACTTTGTTTAAGTCTGAGGAATGCACGCCTTCCTGTTTTGCACCAGAGCTAAGATACAGGCATTCTTTCTGGGTTTTCGGGGACTATGTGCCTTTCTCTTTCTCTTTCGGGTACTGGGGAGTGAACATAGGACCTTGTAAACGGTGGGCAAGTGCAACTCTAACCACTGACCTACCTCCTCGGTTCTGTTTCACTATTCATTTGGGGGGGGGGCATGTCTAAGTTGCCCAGACTAGACCAAAACTTACTCTGTAACCCATGTAGACCTTAATTTGCAAGCTTCCCACCTCAGCCTCCTGAGTAGTTGAGATTATAGCTGAGTACCCCCAGGCCCAACTTTGTTTCTTAAATGCACAGAATAACACACCGTAGCTGTGGACTTTTCACTTCATCAGTAGCACTTTCTTGCTGTGGTTTGGGGTTTCTTGTTTGTCTCTATAGGTGTAATGTTTGTTTTGATGTGGTCAGGTTTCAAGATTAAGGACTATGATTAATATCTTCTGACAACCTGCACCTTTTAGAGTTTTCAAAACTTATTTATAAGGATAAAGAGATGACTCAGCAGTTAAAAGAACCAGTTGCTCTTGCAGAGGACCCAGGTTCAAATCCCAACATGCAGATGGTGGTTAACAACTGTCTGTAATTCCAGTTCCTGGGGATCTGGCACCCTTTTTTGACCTCTGTGGGCACATATACATTGGCGTAATTACATACGTGCAGGCAAAACACTCACACACATAATAAAGTAAAAAAAATTTTTTTGAGACAGGGTTTCCCTGAAACCCCAGCTGGCCTAGAACTCACTATATAGACCAGATTAGCCAAGATCTCACAGAGATCCATCTGCTTCTGCCTCCCAAGTGCTGGGATTAAAGAGCTGCCACCACACCCAGCCCATAAATTAATTTTTTTAAGTTAAAAATCTTATTATTTTTTTTTTGAGACAGGGTCTCCTTGTACCTAGCTGGCCTTGAACTTACTATGTAGAACAGGCTGGCCTCGAACTCACAGAGATCCACCTGCCTCTGCCTCCCGAGTGCTAGGACTAATGGCGTGCATCACCACACCTGGCTAAGTTAAAAATCTTATCTCCCACTCCAGCCTTCATTTGGTCTCTTAAAGTTTGTTTTACTCATTTAGATCCTTGACCCACAGCCAGGTGTGGTGGCAGGCCTGTAAGCCCAGAACTTGGGAAGGTGAAGCAGGTAGATCAGGAGTTTCAGGTCAGCCTCTGCTACGTAACGAGTTCAGCCTGGACTATATGAGACCCTGTCTCAAAAACAAAACAAAAATACAAAACACAATACTACCTCAATCTATCTGGAATTTAGCTTTTTGAGTAGGGATCTAATTTTACAACTTTCTATGTGGACAGCCAATGCTCAGCATCTTTTATGAAATAACCCTTCCTTCCTCACTGATGGCTAATGGTTATCTGTGAGCATCACATTTCAGCATGCATGGACCAGCTTCTGCTTCTCTAACTGGGCATTCCTGCACCAAGAGGACCTGCTTTCAATGGCAGTCTTAAAGTTTATTGACTCTTGACATCTAGCAGGGCTAGTCCACCTTGTTCAAACCTTCTCTACAACTTCTGGTTCTTTATTCTTTCTGACTGCTGTAAAAGAGCAGTGCTGAGCTCCATGATCAGTGCTGTGGGAATTTACAGCCTGCCCTGGGAGCACAGCTGTCTCTGTGGCATCTGTGTGTGGCATCCCACCATGGCACGAACATCTCTTGTCTATTCATCTTTTCTGTCCTTCAGTGATAAATTAAAGTCCCCTGGCTGAAGGCCTAAAAAGCAGCCTTTCCAATATCACGTTTATTGTTAAACCCATTTCTAGAGAAGAGCCTTGGAAACCCCAGTCTAGGAACACTGGAAATTGTGAAAAGGATACATGATTGAACCACTCCAAACTTGAGTTGGGTGAAGAGTCGCACAAAGAAGTCCACAAAAAGACCCACCTGCCAAAAGCAACATCCAGCTACAGACCTCCATGCAGGTGAGGCCCAGCTACAGACCTCCATGCAGGTGAGGCCCAGCTACAGACCTCCACGCAGGTGAGACCCAGCTACAGACCTCCACGCAGGTGAGGCCCAGCTACAGACCTCCATGCAGGTGAGGCCCAGCTACAGACCTCCATGCAGGTGAGGCACAGACTGAGACTTCCCCTCCTTCCCTGGCTGCTCAGGTCACTGACCAGCACTATGGGAGGAACTTTCTGCTAGTCACCCTGACTTTGGAGGAGATCCTACCCCAGCCTGGCCCCATGGCCCCTCCAAAGAGGAAAAGGGGTACAGCTCAGAGGAGTGAAGCAGAGCAAAGGAAAGAGGGGGATGCAGAAAAAGATGGGAGACCAGAAGATCCTGGTGTGGTTAAAGAGGCTGAGTTGCGTGGGGGAACCGCTCAACAGTTTTCAAAAGTGGACTGAAAGAACACCCAGATGTCTTCAGTGGTGGCAGCTGGGTGAACTCAGCTTGGAGTGCTACTCTGGAGGACACTAATGTAGGCGTACATGGTTTCTGCATTTCTATTAGCCTCTTTCCTTTTTAAGATTTATTTTTATTTTTTGTTTATTGATTCAGGGTCTCCCTACAGCTGGCCCGGAACTGGCTATGTAGACAAGGCTGGCCTAGATCTCACAGAGATATGCCTGCCTCTGCCTCTCGAGTGCTGGGATTAAAGGGATGCATGACCAAACCGGCTTACTAAGATTTTTTATATGTGTGTGTGTGTGTGTGTGTGTTTAAGAGTCCAGAAGAAGGCATCAGATCCCCTGGAACTGGAGTTATAAGTTGTGAGTTGCCTGAGGTGGGTGCTGGGAACCAAACTCAAGTCCTCTGGAAGAGCGGCAAACACTGGTAACTGCCAAGCCATCGCTCCAGCCCTTCAATCTTTTGTATTTTCTAAGTTATTATCTTGCCTGAGAACTCCCCTATCAGTCAGCAGCTACCTAAGGAAAGGGAACAGTCTATGCTCCACTGTTCTACCTGCAAGGGAGACCGGAAAAGCCTTTTAACTTTGGGGAGTGAGGATCAAGGCCCCTTGTCTTTAACTGCAGCCTACCTTCAAACCAATGCCTGTAGGCTCTTTAGCACTGAGGTAGGAAGACAGATCAAAGAGTGAGAAGTAGCCAGGGCTGAGGCCACTGCAACAGAAGAGGGCCGCTTCCCAGCATCTGCACTGCCAGGGGTGCTGGAAACTGGCAGGTCAAAGGATGGAACATTGGCAAAAAGACTAGCAATGCTTATTACAGGGAAATCTGCAACCAGAAACACATAGCAAAACAGATGCTTGGATTCCGCCTTTGTTTTTATAGAGTTTTTTGTTTATGAACTAATTAAACCAAGTTCCTCCCCAACGGTGCCCATCAGAATGTTAGTGAGCAAGCCTTCCAAACCATTAGTGTCATTAGAAAATGTTCCTTGTGGCCAGGCGTGGTGTCGCTCTCGCCTTTAATCCCAGCACTTGGGAGGCAGAGGCAGGTGGATCTCTTTGAGTTTGAGGCCAGCCTGGTGTCCATAGTGAATCTAGGCCAGCTAGAGCTACAGGGAGACCCTGTCTCAAAAAGACGAAAAAAAGAAAATGTTCCTTGTAAATTTATAATAAAGAATCGGATGGGTGCCATGTGAATGGAAACGGCTGACCCCAGGAGCTGTGTGATCTGGAACACTTACACTACCCAGAATGCTGTGAAGAGTAAGTCCAAGAATTGGGGCCAACTCTGGAGAAAGGCAACAAGCAGACTGCTGCTCAGCAACCAGCCTGACCCTGTCACTAGGTGACAGACATCAGACTAGGCACGTGTCCCCTGGCTGGCTGCTGAGTTTTCCAGCTTCTAACATTACGTCTGCAGCTATGGTCCCAGGAGATTTTTTTTTTTTTCACCAGTCTTCAGTGGTGTTTCCAGCTCTCCCTGTCTGTGATCCATCTGTGAACTTGGGCCCAGGAGCCCTGTTCATTCTGCCCCAAGCACCAGACTTCCCTCTCTGCTTCTAAAACAACTGGTAACGAGTGAGCAGCACAACATGACCTCAATATCCAGTGAACTCCATCTGCTGTGTTACCCACCACCAGGCTCACTGATTGGATGGATTATGGGTTAGGATCTACAATCATATCGTGAGAGATAAGCTCTGACCAAGCCTTTGAGTGCTTAGGGAGTACAGAGTCCTATGACTTTTGTTTTCAAAAGGAAAAGTCCTGTGAAAAACCAGGTCAGCATTATTAATTTGAAAAAAAAATAATAATGAGAAAAGGCAGTGTCAGCTGTACAACGACAACTAGAGCGACGCAAACGTTACAGTGACAAGACAATGATTCAACAGGCAAGGCTTTCCCTGATCTCCACTCGCCGGCTTGCCAGCTCCCCAGGTCCTCCTGCTCACCAGTCCAGTGCAGACTCCAATGGCAAACACCACCATCCACTTCACCGCCTCGTACCTTCGCCCTTTCTGTTCACATGGGAAAAGAACCATTCCACTTGTTACAGGGGGAATGCAGCTCTGGGCTAAATTCCACAGGAACAGGAAACATGGCAAGGAGGAGGGCCAGGATCTCAGGTGCCTCACAGTGAGAAACATCAGCCCCATACGGACCTGGGGGGCACGCTGTCTGGAAAGAGGATGGTCTAGGGACTCTGCGTGTGTGTGTGTGCGTGTGTGTGTGTGCGTGTGTGTGTGTGTGTGTGTGTGCGTGCGCGCGCATATGTGTCATGGCCTATGTGTGGAAGTCAGAGGATAACCTTGGGAGTCAGTTCTCTGCTTCCACCATGTGGGTCTCAGGGATCAAATTCAGGTCCTCAGGCTTGGCAGGGGAAACCTTCACTAATGAACTCTCTCTCCAACCCAGATCTAGGGACTTAAATGCTACTATTTCATGAAAAGGTTTAAAGACCAAGGAGAAAGGACAGGCACTGGGGCATTTCGATGGAAAAATAAGCTGTCTGAGGACCTACTTGGTCCAAAGAAATCAGGAGCTGGGGACTTACCTTGTTATCCATGGTCTCCAAAACCTCCAGGTAAGGGTCGTTGATGCAGCGGTCATAGTCCAAACTCTGAAAGGACACAGGAGTGAAATGGCACAGCCACGACCAGGACAAAGCTCCAGCTTCCAGCTGCTCGGAGGATAGGCATCTATCTGCAATTCTAGGAAGGGCTCTGCACAATACAGACTCAGACCCCACTGGCCTGCAGCTTTTGAAACTGCACTTGAATGAGACCACCAGGCAATTCGCATGTGCAGTGGGGCCCAGCAGCCCAGCTTCATGTTTAAAAGAAAGCTGTTTTTGTTTTCATTTTTTAGGACAGGGTCTCACTATGTAGTGATGGCTAACCTGGAACTCACAGCGATCCGTTTGTTCTGCCTCTGGAGTGCTGGGATTAAAGGGGTGTCCCACCACATTTGACTCTCAAGAGAAAGTTTTAAATGGCATGTTTTTAGGGCAGGGGATGTAGATCAGTGGTGGGGTGCCTGTCTAGCCTGAGTGAGCAAATTCCATCCCCAACACTGCAAAAAGATTTTCCCTGTTTCTACAAAATAGACCTTCAGCTATCGCCAGCATTGCCTAACATGCTCCGTTAAATGTGAACAAAACTTTCAGTTAACCAGAACCAAGTTATTCCAGCAGCTGAACTAACTATAATTCTCTTCATAAGTAGCTTCTATGAAAATGAGGTCAGTCACAAGACAAACCCAGATGGAGAATATTTCTAAAAGCAAGTTCTGACTTATGTCCAGAAGAGGCACAGACTCAGCCAGCTCCTTCAAGTTCTACAGCCACACTTGGAAGAACACGGGCAGAGAAAAATCTGCAGGTGCGCCGAGGAGAGTACGAAGGGAAATTCTTTTATTTCTAGGTCTTGTAAGAGAAGCACAAGGCTCTCAACGAAGAAACAGTTCAACCTGTGCTTTCCCTCCCCTGTGACAAGCTCGACTGCAACATCAGCTAATGAGCAAGCTGGACATTGGCCTGGTGGCCTCAGTCCTGGGCACTAGGTTAAAGTCAGCCAAATACAGGTGTGATGTGTAACAATTTAATCTACCCCTATGACTGCTGAGAGCAAGTCGAAATTTCTTTTTTTATGAGTCCTGGAGTAACAATAAAAGACGCAAAAATCAATTACCATATATCTAAACACAAGACTAGGTAGCAATCACATCATTATAGCAGAGTATTTACTATCAGATATGGAAAATGTCCAAATTTACTTAAAAGAAATGATGATGCAATAAAAAAGCAAGATGTAGGCTAGGTGTGGTAGCACACACCTTTGATCACTGCACACAGGAGGCAGAGGCAGACCTCTGTGAGACAGAAGCCAGTCTAGTCAATACAGCGAGTTTGAGGCCAGCTGGGGTTACAGGGAGACCTTATATCAAAAAAATCAATTAAAAAAAAAAAAGATGTAGAATCAAATGTATAATAAGGGGCTGGAACTCAGTGTAGAGAAGTTACCTGATTGCCTAGCCTGGGCAAGGCCTTGGGTTCAAGTCCTAGTAGCACAAAAACAAAATCTAAAGTGTGTAACATGATCTTATTTTGAGTTAACAAATTTAGGCATATACAGTAATATAAAAAATGTCTAAGGGGACTGGAGAGATGGCTCAGCGGTTAAGAACACTGACTGTTCTCGCAGAAGACCTGGGTTCGAATCTCAGCACCCACATGGCAGCTAACAGCTGTCCATAACTCCAGTTCCAGGGGATCCGACAGCCTCTTCTGTCCTCCTCGGGCATTGCACGACACGGGTGCACTTACCTACATGCAGGCAACACACGCAAACACATAAAAAATAATATTAGGCTCAGCGGTTAAGAACACTGACTGTTCTCGCAGAAGACCTGGGTTCGAATCTCAGCACCCACATGGCAGCTAACAGCTGTCCATAACTCCAGTTCCAGGGGATCCGACAGCCTCTTCTGTCCTCCTCGGGCATTGCACGACACGGGTGCACTTACCTACATGCAGGCAACACACGCATACACATAAAAAATAATATTAAAAAAAAAGTCTGAGAAACATCTTTAAGGTAGTGTTTTGGATGTTCACACCTAGGTACAGAACTCCTTTTTTTTGGCTCTTTGAGACAGGGTCTCTCTGCAGCCTCAGCTAGCCTGGAACTTGCTATGTAGACCAGACTGACCTCAGTCTCACAGAGGTCCACCTGCCTTTGCCTCCTGAGTGCTGGGATTAAAGGGGTGTACCACCACACTCCAGAACTACTTTTGTGGTATACATTTTGTTTTTGTTTCTAGAGAGGGTCTCATGCAGCCCAGAATGGCCTTAAACTTACTATTATATCCCAGGAGGACCTTGAACTTTTGATTCTTCTGCCTCTACCTCCCAAGAGCTGGAATTACAAGTGTGCACTGCCATGCTCAATTTAATGCAGTATGGGGGTGGGACACAGGGCTTCATGCATGCTAAGCAAGCACTCCACCATATAAGGCCCAACCCCATGGGTAGTTTTTTTTAATATAAAATTAAGAAAAGGGTTAGCAAGATGGCTCAACAGTTAAGAGCACCTGCTGCTCTTCCCAAGGACCCAAGTTCAGTACTCAGTACCCATGTTGGCTGGCTCACAACCTGTAACTCCAGCACCAGGGGATCTGATGCCCTCTCCTGGCATCCATGGGCACCTTACATACACATGACACACACAAACGCATAAATAAAAAATAACTCTGAAAAAAAAAATGAGACTGGGGATGGTGGCACATGCCTTTAATCCCAACACTTGAGAAGCAGAGGCAAGGAGATCTCTGTGAGACCAAGGCCAGCCTGGTCTACATATTGAGTTCTAGGCCAGCTGGGGTGACAAGGACACAAAACACAAACAACAAAATACAAAACTGAAAAAAATCATTGGGTGCTGGCGAGATGGCTCACTGGTTAGGTGTGCTTGCTGATCTTTCAGAACACCCGAGTTTGGTTCTTAACACCTGCAGCAGGATCGCTGTAACTCCAGCTCTAATACCCTCTTCTAGACACACACAAATAATTTTTTTTTTAATTATTTTCTGGAGGGCTGGAGAGATGGCTCAGAGGTTAAGAGCACTGACTGCTCTTGCAGAGGACCCAGGTTCAATTCCCAGCATCCACATTGTGGTTACAAACCATTCTTAACTCCAGTTCCAGGGGAATCTGAAGCTCTCCTCTGACCTCCGCAGCATTGCACAATACAGGTGCACTCACATACATGCAGGCAATACACTCATACACATAAAATAATAAATAAAAATATTTTTTTTAAAAATTATTTTCTGGAGATATGGATCAGCAATTAAGAGCACTGACTGCTCTTTCAGGGGACCTGGGTTTGGTTCCCAGCACCCACATGACAGCTAACAATCACCAATAACTACAGTTCCAAGGGATCTGATGCTACTTTCTGACCTCCAAGGGCATTGCACAACACTTACACACATGCAGGCAATACTCTCATACACATAAAGTGAAAATAAAACTTTAAAAAAAAAATTATTTTCTGGCCGGACGTGGTGGCACACGCCTTTAATCCCAGCACTCAGGAGGCAGAGGCAGGCGGATCCCTGTGAGTTCAAGGCCAGCCTGGTCTACATAGTGAGCTCCAGGACAGCTGGGGCTACAGGGAGATCCTGTCTCAAAAAGACCAAAAAAAAAAAAAAAAAAAAAAAAAATCTCATCAAGTGATTCACTTTAAATGGAAGGACTGCATAATCTGTGCTTTATACCACAAAAGAGGACTGGTGTCATGGATCAGTGGGTAAAAGCACCTGTGACCAGCCTGAGTAGAATTCCCCAGGACCCACATGATAGGAGAGAAATGACTTCTGCAAGCTGTCCTTTGGTATTTACACACAAATAAATACATTTAAAAAATGTAATTAAAAAAATGTAAGATGACTCAGTGTGTAAATGCTCTTGTCTCCAAGCCTGATGACCTTAGTTAATCCCCTGGGGTTATCTTGATGTTCAAAGGCACATGGTGTGTGTACCCACACACATATGCTCATACTGGCTTGCATAAAATACATAGTCAGGCATGGAGGCACATGCCTTTAATTCTGGCACTTGGGAGGTAGAAGCAGGTGGATTTCTGTAAGAGCAAGGCCAGCCTGGTCTGCATAATAAGTTCCAGGCCAGCTGGGGCTACAGGGAAACCCTGTTTCAAAAATAAGTAAGACAAAAAAATTCAAAGGCAGCTGAGAACGTAGCTAAATTGGTAGAGTGCTTGCTTAGCACGAGCAAGCATGGGATTTAATCCCAGTGAGCATAAAGTAGGTGGGATGGTATGCACCTGTAATCCCAGCACTCTTGGCACTGAGGTGGCAGAGGCAGGAGGATCAGAAGCTCAAGGCCATCCTCAAGCTACATAGCTAGCCTTGGCTACAGGAGAACCTGTCTCTGAAAAACAAAAACAAACAGATCACTGTAGCACTGGATGTGGTGGTTTGAAGCCATCCAAGGCTACATGTGAGGTACTGTCTAAACAAACAAACAAACAAACAAAAGGTATAATTGTGCCAGGTGTGGCGAGGGTACAGTAATATATGCCTATGATCCCGGCACCTGGGAGCTTGGGAGGCAGGAGCCAGGAGGAACTCCAGTTTGAGGCCAGCCTGGGCTACATAGGGAGACCCTATTTCCCAAAATAAATAAATTTTAAAAACTGGAGTCTGGAGTAGTGGCGAACACTTGTTACCTCAGCATTCAGGAGGCCGAGACAGAAGGATCTTGAATTGGAAACTAGCCTAGGCTACCTAAGTGTTGTCCAGTCCAGACCAATCTGGGCTACCTAGCAAGCCCTTATCTCAAAAAAAGAAAGAAAGAAGGCCTGGTGTGGTGGCACACACCTTTAATCCCAGCACTCGGGAGGCAAGAGGCAGGCGGATCTCTGTGAGTTCAAGGCCAGCCTGGTCTACATAGTGAGTTCCAGGACAGCTGGGGCTACAGAGAGACCCTGTCTCAAAAAGACCAAACAAAACAAACAACAACAACAAAAAAGAGAGAATACAAAAGTTGTTATCAAGTTAGGAGAGAGATTAAAATAGATATTTAGTAGAATGGGCATTTTATCTTTTTGTATAAAGTTAAATGATTTTATTTTTTAAAGTTTCATTCCAACAGAATTTACGTTACTAACACACATTTCTTACTGAGCCTCATTATGTTAGCCACACTGATATACGACTCCTGGACCCAAGGGATCTTCCAACCTCAGACTTCCAAGTTCAGTGCTAGTGCTAGAACACTGTGGCCCCACACTCTCAACCCTATTCTTGAAGCTGGAAACTACAATTAAGATCATTTCATAGGGCAAAGAAGCAAGGCCTCCTAACAGGTTATGAGCATTCATAGCCAGGACCTTTGACCCTGGGTCTCTTTTAAGTTGCAAAAGTTTAATACATTCTCTATCAAAGGTGCCACAAATCTACAATATCAACACCCGATCTTGTTTGGGGAGGTTAAGGTGAGGACTTGCTATAAACAACATTTCCCAGAAGGCCGGTTTTCCCTTTCCACTCACTCCCTGCAGCGGAAGTCAAAGGACATCTCTGGTTGGAGGTCTGAAGTGACCAGGCCACTCACTACATTAGTTAGACAGCGGCAGAGGACCTCACCTCATAGTCTTTCCTTGGAAGGATCTCATCCTCCTCTTCCTGTGTCTCCCCAAGGATGGTCTAGAAAAACAGATTCACAGAGGAGACGTTTTTACTGATTAAGAATGGAAGAAGGGGAAGAATTAGTAAAACCAGTTGCTAGCTTCTAAATCAGCTAGAGTCATCATCAAAGGGGAGCAAGATTTCAAAAAAAAACATTCGGGATGGGGATCTGGTCATCACTGGAACTCTTCATTTCTACTGACTGACACATTCTCCCAATATTAATGCTCACCTTCAGGATACCTGAAAGATGTCCGATGGCAGCTTAGTAAGGAGAAAAATTCAGGTTCCACCTGACAACGGGCCTAATACGAAATCAGAAGGACCCTGTCAACTCTGGGGACACAGCTCAAGTTTTCCCAGGTTGCTTTGCAGGGGCTGGGTTGTCAGTGACCCAGAAAAAGGTGAAGGCGAGGATAAGAAAAGGCTGGAGAAACTAAATCCGCTGCACTAGCACAAAGTCCTGAGAAAGGACTCAATCGGAAAATGCTTTATTCAAAACTCCGAACAGAAATAAAATAGAATACAGTGGTTAACTCGAGCTGGCAGGGATTCTCCCAGGGAGAGAGACAAGAACTCAGACACTGCACGGGAAGAAGGGCGGATGCTCCTGGAGCGGCCACCGCGGTCCCCGGGCCACACCCGCAGCCACCTGCAGGCGCAGTTGCGCGCGGCCCCACCCCCGGCAACGCCTCTCGGTCCCTTAGCAACTGCCCCCTCCCCAGCTTGGCCCGCCGCCGCCGCTCACCAGCTCCTCGGGGGTGCGGCTTTCCCGCTCGCCGCAGCAGCAGCACCACCTGCAACAGTAGCACACGGACCCCCTGCACCCCGCCATCTTCCTCCTTTGCTGCCACTCCGGACCCCCTAGGCCAACCCCCTCCCACCCGGGATCCGCGCCTCACGTGACTGGCCCCGCGAGGGTCACGTGGCCTTCTCGAGCTGGGCGGGGGGGCGCGAGACTGGGAGTGGCTGCTGACGGGTGGGGCGAGCGCCCGCATCACATGACGCGATCCGGAACCCGCTTCCCCAGAGACCTTAGGGCGCGGCCATGTTGGAGGCGGAACTTCCGGTTGTCGCCTTTGGTGGCTTCCTCCCATTCCTCATCCGGTCTCCCCCGGCAACTGGCAGCTGTGCTCCGCCCCCTAGGGCGGCACGGAAGCTATGAGCCTTCGGAGTGGCGGGAGGGAGAGTGACAGCGAGACCTGGGGACGCCGAGGAGGGAGACGCCGCCCGGAACATCTGCAGGAGCGAGGCCTCCTGGTGGGCGCACAGCGGGGGACCGGCCCGAGCTCTGCAGGGGCGGGCTTCTCTTCGGGCCCCCCTGCATGGGGGGAACCTGGGGGTGAAGGGGTCCCGAATCTGGGGCAGTGATCCAGACCCCAGAACTGGCCAGGACCTGCATCCCCCGCTCTGGCCTGTGACCCAGTGACTAGGTTACCCGATTCCCATCCCTTAGGCTACCCAGTGCCCAGGCGGCTTCCGGCCCTAGTCTTTGAAGCTTGGAAAGGAGCCGTGGACCTCGGGCATTGTCGCCCAGGTGCCCGCTGCGTCCTGCTGTGCACAGACGTCCTTTCAGCCCCTTCTGGAGTTGGGGGCTTAGAGTCTGCTAGTTTGGCACAATCTAAGTAAGCGGTCAGTAGTTAGAGGAGAGGCCTTTTGAGAATGGAGTGGCAGCACTGGCCCGTTAGGTTTTAGTGAGTATTGGCTGTTACTGCTGCGTGTCTGGAACTGGGTCCCTGGTCCGGGTCTCAGGCAGAGACAGGAGGAGGAGAGGGAAACCTATTAGCCGACAGTTTAGACCTTGTGTGTTGTGGGAGCCCCGCTAAAAATGGGTAATTGGTGGGAGTTGGTTGAAATACGGCACATGCTACAAACACTTAAGTCTTGGGGAGCAAAACATTTGCAGTAGGTGCCTCGGCTCCCCAGGTTTGGTTCCAGTAGGTGAGTCAGGTATCACCTCCCTTGAATGGAAGAGGAAGGCTGGGGCTGTTGTGCCGTTACTAATCCTTTCTAAACCTGGGAGTTTGTCAGAACAAAACAGGCATCTCCAGGTGGAGACAGTGTTGGCACTAGGTAAGACAGGGTTCATGGTCTGGAATCAACTGCTTGACTTTAATTGCAACAAGGTGTATTTTGTGACTGGGGAGAGAACAGTGGGTGTCTTTAGATTCTTGAGGCTCAGAATGGAGAATTTCCCTGGCTTAGGGGTGGAAGTTCCCCAAAAGGAATGAACCTAACCTTGGCATTCATCTCTTGCTCCACGTCACCATACAGATACCTGCTGAGTGTTTGCCCATTACTGTGCAGGAATAGTGTTCTGTTTTGTTTTCAGGTATTTGTCATTTCTTGGCCAGACTGCCACATGGCACTGTGCCCTGTTGGCCAGGCTGTGGTTGCCGTCTCGGGCTATTTAGGTGCAGCTCTGTCATCACTGATCGTTTTGACTCCAGGGGCACTTGTAGGGGGAGCTGCCTGCAGGGCAGGCACTGATGGAACATTCTTTGTTCAGAGTTGGACATAAATCCCTGTCCTTAGTGCATTTGAGTCTGCCTGCATTTGCAGCCCAGCCCACATCAAGTTCTAACGCACCACACAGCGGTTTTTTGGGAGTAACATGAACTCAGAAAATCAGGCTGCCTAGCCAAACCCTGGCCCCTTACCCCCTTGCACACTACCTATAAACAGATGTTCCAGGCAGGGCCAGCCACAGCAGCTGTTCTTTTTTAGGAGGGGAAATCCAGTGACCCTGAATGGCTGATGGCCTTATCTCCACCAACCCCTGCATTCCCCGCCCACCCGCATCCCCCTCCTTCCATCCGGCCTCTTTGACTTGCGCTTTAGCCTTCTCTCCAGCTTGGAAGTCTTGTTCCCGCCCCTTTGCATGGCCCCAGCTCCTGCTCGGGGCTCTTTGTCACAGCTCCGCCCAGTTAGGCACACCCTCAAGGAAAGGTTCCTGTTTGTTCCCCACTCTGGGTCTAAGCTGACAGAGATGAACCATGGAAAAGTCAAGGTCCTCCCAGCTGGGCACCATTATCCTACACTGGGAATGTGGGCCTCCGAGGCCGGTTGCTCGAGGCTCTCTGTGCCACCCTCTGTCAGGTAGCTGTCACTGAGGATCCATGGACTGAAGAAGCTGTCTCAGTGCCTGGTAGGGACCATCCTGCAAAGAACCAGGCGACAGCAGGGGGCAAAGCGCATGGAGCCTCTGGTTAGGAGCTGTGTCAGCTTCTCTCACCCTTGCTGGCTGCCTTCCTACGCAGAGCAAAAAAGCAGCGTCTGCCACTCAGGTGTCGGGTGTGCCTGGGGCTTGGCTACCAGCCCTCTAATGCCCTCTGCCCTCGATCCCGTGCAGCAGGAACCCAGCCATGGTGAACGAGGCCAGAGGGAGTGGCGGCCCCAATCCCCGATCCGAGGGCAGCAGCAGTGGCAGCGAGAGCTCCAAAGATAGTTCGAGATGTTCCACCCCGAGCCTGGACCCCGAGCGGCACGAGAGACTCCGGGAGAAGATGAGGCGCAGGATGGAATCTGGTGACAAGTGGTTCTCCCTGGAATTCTTCCCTCCCCGAACTGCTGAGGGAGCTGTTAACCTCATCTCAATGTGAGCTGGGAGGTTAAGGGGTGGGGGCAAACTGGGGGGGGGCATGAGCTGTCAGCCTTGGGCTACTGCTGCCCTTTAACCTGGCAGGAAAAAGCATGGGGATGAGTGGGGCACAGAAAGGAACAGAGGCCAGGCAGGGAGTTTTGTTCTGTAACTTACAACTTCTTGCCTGTGAAAGTCCCTCTGAAGCAGCCTCTGATATGTTTAGATACACTCCTCAGGGCCTGAAAATGTTGATTCTCAGACCTCAGATTGCATTCTTTGGCTCATTTGTAGTTTAGGAAGTCACAAGCAGCAACTTAGGGAATGTGTTGAACAAGCTGGGCATTTGGAATGCCTTTCCAAATCAAATACAGCTAGTTGTGTTAGCCCTTGACGAATTGCGGCACCTTTTCATCGAAGTGTGTGCCATTTAGGGGGCTGGAGAGAGCTCAGCAGTGTTTACTGGCATGCAAGAATCACAGAAAGAGGGAGAGAAGAGTGTATGTCCTTTTTAGTGGTATGCGTTTTAATCCCAGCACTCAGAAGGCAAAAGCAGGAGGATCTCCGTGAGTTCAAAGTCAGCTTGGGCTACATAGTGAGTGCCAGGCCAGCTGGGGTTACATACCAAGACCTTGTCTCAAAAAACAAAACAAAACAAAAGGGATGGGGATGTAAATGGGTTGGTAGAGTGCTTGCCCAGCTTCCAGGATGCTCTGAGTTTGATCCCCAGCACTGCCTAAACAAGGTGTGAGAGCAATCCTGTAATCCCAGCATGGGGAAGTGGAGGCAGGAGGATCAGAAGTTCAAAGTGATTCCAGCCTGGTCTACATAAGATCATATAAACAGCAACAAGAAAAAACCAGTGGTGCCTTTCGCTCCCTAACTTGTGAAGTTAAAGACACAGCATGTTTAAACATACCATTGTAGCTTTTAACATAAGTGCTGGTGCCCACGCTGGCTTTTGAATCTAGTTCGGGAACTTGGCCTTGCTCAGGGACTGCAGAGGTGGCACAAAAGAAACTTGTGTCTGCTGACACTCCTTTGCCATTCCTAGAATGTGGCTGTCTGCCTGCCCTCTCAACCAAGGCTTTAAACTCCGCCAAGGCCAGTGTGCAAGGATTTCGAGAAGTATGGAGTGCTATTCAGGCAGAATGGTGGCATTGTCACATGTCAAGTCTATAATCCTAGCAATCCTAAGGCAGGGGCTGGAGCTGAGCACACCCTGTGTGGAGCCATGTGACTCCTCATAGTTGTTCTGAAGTAGGTACTGTTATGTGCTATGTCTTAGAAATGAAGATCCCGAGACTCAGGTTAGGTAATGTGCCCAAGGTCACACAGCCAGTGAGTAGCAGGAGTGGCTGGAGGGTGAACGCAGCTGCTCTGGCACCAACTTGCATGCTCTGCTCCGCCAGCTCCCTGGCCTCTAGGGAGATGAGGGTACCGTTTCCCCAAGAGCCCGACTTCAGAAAGAAATCCCCTACAGGTTTGACCAGATGGCAGCAGGTGGCCCCCTCTTCATAGATGTTACCTGGCACCCAGCAGGGGACCCTGGCTCCGACAAGGAGACCTCCTCCATGATGATCGCCAGCACAGCCATCAACTACTGTGGCCTGGAAACCATGCTGCACATGACCTGCTGCCAGCAGCGCCAGGAGGACATCACGGGCCATCTGCACAGAGCCAGGGAGCTTGGCCTGAAGAACATCCTGGCGCTGAGGGGAGGTGTGGCTCCAGCATCCCTCCTCACTGGGTTCTTGCTTTCCCAAAGGCCTCCTCTTTCCAGAAAAGTCCTTTATGTTCCCTGGGCCCCACGCTGAGCATGCTCAGGGTCCCCTCCCTTCCTCTCCCTTCCTGAGGATCAGTGGGCATTGTGGCTAGTGAGTCTACCATGGGCTCCATACAGGTGGGACCACCTCTTCCACTTCTTCACCTGGTTGTAGATCAGTCAGGTGTGGCTGCACAGTGCCATCAATTGCTGGTACTGCCTTGCCTGATCACAGAGTACAGCGCTCCTTTCCCAGGAACACCTGGGTGCCTGCTGACCTCAGGTACTCAGAGTGGGCAGGGATCCTGTGGTCTCTGTTCACCACAGGATCTCTTCTCATGATGAGTGGAAAATCCTCCTAGAGGGCTGGAGAGATGACTCAGTGGTTAAGAGCACTGGCTGCTCTTGCAACGGACCGGGGTTGGCACCCACATGGTGGCTAACAACCGTCCTAACTACAGTTCCAAGGGATCTGACACCCTCTTCTGACCTCTCAGGGCCTTGTACAACGAGTGCACCTACATACCAAGCAATATACCCATAAATTAAAAATAATTTTTTTAATTTAAAAAGAGACAATCCTCCTAGAATGTGGAACTCTGAGAGAGTAGGAGAGTGAGCAGAGGGAGGGGGTGCCTGAGCACACCTGGGGCAGCAGGACCAGGCCAGCGATTCTGTCCTCCAGGCTCAGTGCAGAGCCACACTGTTGTCCTGGTCCCAGGTCCAGCAGAGCATCCACAGGGTCGGCCCTCAGTGATTTGACAGCTGACCACAGCTCCTCTTACACCCGCCATGAGCCAGACTAGACTTGTACAATAGGAAGTCTTTGCCTTTGAGGAGCCACAGCCCCAAGTATAGGGGTGGGTAGAGGGACCAGAAAGACTCTCTGGAGGTCAGGGGACACTGAGTGACCGTGACCTCCAGCAACCCTACAGACCCTGTAGGTGACCACTGGGAAACAGAGGAAGGAGGCTTCAGCTGCGCCACAGACCTGGTGAAACACATCCGGAGCGAATTTGGTGACTACTTTGACATCTGTGTGGCAGGTGAGTGGGGAGAGAGGGGAAGGGATGAGAGACTGGGAAGCCAGCCAGTGTTCAGCTCAGGATATGGTGATTGCGTAGACCAGGGATCAGGGATGAGGGGGCTGGGGGGAAGCAACCCGTGCAGATGAGGACACAGAGCCGAATGCCACTGTCCTGGTGCTCCCCTGCCGCCCCCCCCAGCACCAACCCTGACTGCCCTGCTACCCCCCACCCACCCCCATTGCACCAAGCTTGTATGTGGCCCCACACATAAGCTTTGCTCCTCCAAATTCCATGCTCCCACCTTCTCACCAGCAAAAGGGGGACATTTATGACTCAGGGGCATGGGATCCCAAGACCAGGGTGAGGAAATGGCATCAGACCCTACCAGACACTGAAAGGAGTCAGGCGCTGATGCCCCTCCACATTCCCTCTGGGTCTGCTTCACCCTGCCTCCCAGGTGGGTCTGATAGGCCTGCTGCTCTGTCTGTTTGGTGTTGGCTCCAGCCCGCAGCCCAGGCTGACCGTTCTTAGTGTTAGCCCTCAATGCCCAGGACCGAGACTTGAGCTAGCTCAACTCTAATTTCAGCATGGGGGCAGGGGACGCCAGTAGAGGCAGGAGGATCACAAATCCAAAGCCAGCCTGGGCTACATGACAAGAACCTGTTAAAAACCCAACACCTGAAGCTGTATCTTATTGCTTACCTTGTATGTACAAAGTCCTGGATTCTGTCCCCAGTGCCACAAAAATAGACAAATGTGGTTACATTGTGTGCCACATGTCAAGCAGTAAAATTTAAAAACAAGGTTTGTGGCTTCAAGAAAATTGTCATGGGAGACTTTGGACTTTGCCCAGTCCTTCAGGTCTACATGTGCCCCTTTCAGCAGGGCTGCACAGCTGGCTAAGACTGGAAAACACTGAGCAGAGTGGGAAGAGCAGGCATTGCCCGCTGTCCTGTTCCTGCTGGCTCCAGTGCAGCGGGTTGTGGACTGTGCACACAGGCAGTGGGTGTGAGGTGCTGGAAACTAGCAGTGCTGTGAACTCACACTTGCCTCGTGCTTCTGTGCTTTGCTTACTGTAAAGTGGGTGGTAAGAAGGTCAGCAGATTAAAAAGGATCCAGCTGCTCATGGTAGAAAAAAAAACCAGCAAAACTCAGCTGTGAGCCAACACAGCTTGGCCATACTCACTGCTTTGCCGTGTAGCTTCAGAATCTCCTACTGAAAACAAATTCTGGTGCCTAATCTGATCCCCTTCTGCTTTGAAACAATAGTTATTTCTATCCATTCCTGAGGACTCTGCTTGCTTACAACTGAGTGGTCTTATCACAAGCAAAGCAGCCTGGCTTCCAGACAGCTCAGGCATCGAGTCAGCCCCCTGCCTAGCTATCTCTAGTTCTGCTGGACTGCTGGTGAAGGAAACCAACGCCCTCCCTGAGGCTGCCTAGGGCTATGGTCTCCCAGCCTTCCTGCCCACGTGAGGCTGCTACTGAATTTGGTCATTAAGGGAAGGAGTCATAGAGTTCACGAAGTCACCATCAGGCCTAGAGAGCCTCTGGTCCCAGTTCCCAGACAATTTGGGAACACCATCTGCATGCCGAGTACATGGTGGTTATCCTACTACCCCCCCACCCATATGTGTGTGCAGACTTCAGGAAAAACTTTTTTTTGCCTCTCTTTTCTTTTGATGGGGCAGGGGACGTGCAGGCGTGCTCCTGCACAGCATGTGAAAGTCAGAGGACAACTCATGGGAGTGGGTTCTCTCCTGCCACCTTGTGTGACCTGAGGATTCAACTCAAGTTACCGGGCTTGCTCACAGGTGCCCCTACCCACTAAGCCATCTTGCTGGCCCTGCAGGAGCTTTTTGTGGAGCAGAGCGATGCTTGTTCGCCATCAGAAGCACTGTGGTGGTGGCCAGTGAGGAATGCGGCTGGGTGACTCCTTTTCCCCCAGGCAGACCTTTTGGATGCTTGAAATAGTTACTATATTCACTCCGTTCATTCCTTGAAGCAAAACTGCACACTCTTCGATTTTTTTCTCATGTAATATGATTCTTTTTTAAAAAATATAAGCTGGGGTGGTGGCACATGCCTTTAATCCCAGCACTTGGGAGGCAGAGCAAGCAGATCTCTGTGAGTTCAAGGCCAGCCTGGTCTACATAGTTCCAGGACA